TGCCAATGATTGTATTTACCCCGTAGCATACGCAATAGTGGAGACGGAGAATGCTAGAAGTTGGAGATGGTTCGTTAGTCATTTGGGTGAAGATTTAAGGATTGTGAATAGTAACGAATGGACTTTTATGACTGATAGGCAGAAAGGATTACAAAAGGTTATTGAGGATTTGTACCCTGATGCTGAACATAGGTTTTGTGTCAGGCACATGTATACAAATTTTTTTAGGGCTGATTTTAAGAGTTTGGCGCTCAAAGGATACTTATGGAAAGCTGCAAAGTCTACTACTGTGTCTGATTGGAAGTTTTGGATGGATGAACTTGCGAAGGAGAATGGGGGTGCATATGAGTGGTTAGTTAAGAGGGATCCACGTGAATGGAGTAAGTCTCATTTCTCCACCAAGGTGAAGAGTTATATAGTACTTAACAATTTATGTGAAGTTTTCAACAATGTAGTGTTAGAGGATAGGGAAAAATCAATCTTGACTATGTTAATTGATATGCATATTAGCTGCATGAAGAGGATACAATCAAGGAGGGATAAGATGAGAAGAGCCAGAGGACCTTTGTGTCCTAAGATTCATAAAAAATTAGCTAAATCTATGGAAATAGCTTAGGAGTGTGAAGTAGAATGGTCTGGGGGCTCACAGTTCTATGTCAAATGTCGTACGGGAGAATATGTAGTTGATTTGTCGAACAAGACATGTGCATGTAAGAGATGGGATTTGACGGGGATTCCATGTGGACATAGGGTTGCTGTTATACTAGACCGAGGGGATAATCCTACAAAGTATGTGCATGAGTGCTACTCAGTGCAAACCTATCTACAATGCTATGAAAACATTGTCAATCCCATTAACGGTAAGAAATTGTGGCCGGAAATGAATGCTATCCCTTTACAACCACCGGGTTGGGTGGTGGTGAAGAGGGGAAGGAAGCAAAAAAAGCGCAGAAGGCAGCAAGAGGAAGATGTAATCACTCATTCTGGTACAACTTCAAGAATGAAGAAAAAAGGCGCAGTGAAGATGACCTGCAGTGTATGTTCTTTAACTGGCCATAACAAGCGTTACCATGATAGGGCAGATGCACCAGTTGAGGTTTGTCTTTTTTTAATTAGCATGTTGTATAGTTGTGTAGTACAAATTATTTTTTTTAACCATGTTTCCTTATTTCAGGATTGGGCTGGAAATGAAGATAAAGCCAGTCAAGTTGAAAGTCAAAGTTCAAGGGTAAGTTCTCGATTTTGTTACTCTATGATTACAAAAGGATTTCATATTCATGACTCTTAACCATTTGTCTAACGTAGGCCAAGCGTACAACTCGAAGAGCAAACAATAATTCAACAAACGAAGTGCAATCGAATTCTCCAATAGATGGATATATTTTCATACCCACACCTGGACTTCGGGGCACAAGTGATGCAATATCTAACAAGACTGGTCCTTCGAAATAGCTGTAGTTTAGGGGCTAATTTTAAGAGTTTTTGACGGTGAACCTTTGGTTGATGTTAGTGTATTAGAGTGGTCAATGCAAGTTTTTGAAATGTGGTTTAACCATCATGGATGTATGTATTTTGAATGAATGGTTATATTCCAGTAGTTAACTGGTTTATGTTTATGATTTTGAGAATGAATCAACAAATGATTTACTAGTTTATATTCAGCTCTGGTATTTTGAATGAATGGTTATATTCCAATAGTTTTTGAAATGTATTTCTTGCCGCTTTTATCCATATAGCTCTGTCTAGCAGGATGTAAATCAGGTCATAAATCTGATATTTTCAATGACAGGTTATATTCCAGTAAAGCACCTCAAGCATCCAATTTTTGTTATTCTATGGTTATAAATCTGGTCATCCTGGTCAATCTGGTGCAACACATAAGCACCTCAAGCAATCCAATTTTCATCCTGCTCAATCTGATGCAACACAAATGCACCTCAGGCATCCAATTTTCCATAACCTCAGAAGTAAATGCTCATCTACACATTATATTGCCCATCCACCAACTCAGCCACAAAAATGAAACAAACCAAGTTCAAAAATTATTCATTCATTTAATAGTACAAATATCATACAGCAAAGTTACAACAATCAACTACATATACAACAACCAACTGCAATACAAAGTTCTTAGAGCCAAGTCGGTTTTGCTTCTTCATCTTCATCATTTTCATTTCTATTTTCATGGACTGCAATCTCCCTTCACAAACATGAGGATGAATACAGAAAAAGAAGGCTTCTGCTTTTGACCTCAGAAACAGGAAGATGAATTCATAACACCGGTTCGAAGATTTGAGCTTATACCACTGGAAGAGGAGGAGGAATCAGGAGGAATCATCCCATAATTGCTCGAATCATTACTTGCACTAGCAGCATCTCTCTCAATCTCCACAGGAGGCTTCTGTGTTCTAGCAATGCATATCGATTCATCCACACTTTTGAGCTGGGCGATGTCTTCGAGGAGGGTTTTAAGCTGGGCGATGTCGTCGAGGAGGGATTTGAGCTGGGCGATGTCGTCGAAGAGGGCTTTCAGCTGGGAGATCCATATCGATTCATCCACACAACATTATCGATTGCCCTGCACAGAAGGCAGATTTAATGGCAGAGATGGAGAACTCTTCGCCCAGATTCTTCGTCGGGAGCAGACGTGGGTTTGGGTCTTTGGGAATGAGGGAGAGACGTGGGTTTGGGAATTAAGGGTTGGAGTTGGGGGAGAAGCGTGATTTGAGAAGGAGGTGTGGTGAGTTAGATTACACGTCGTCAATTCAACAGAGAGAGCTTGCCACGTGAGATTACCGTTATCCACGTGTAATTTTCTGTCAATTTTCACGGACGGGAGTGAGTGAGTGGTGGATGGTTAACCACAAGAAAAGATTAGTGAACGTTCGGTAACGCGTTAAAGTTGAGTGAGTAAGTGGTAACCATTTTAAAGTTCAGTGAGTGTTGATTGAATTTACTCTTCTTTTGTATAATCTATTTATAGGTTCATTTTATCATTGTAAGCTCAATTAAGTTGGAATGAAACAAAGCTTCCCGC